GTGTGTGTGTGTGTGTCTAACCCCCATGCCAGTTTGGATATGTAACGACCTTCTGTTCCCTGTGCTTAAATGGCTTAAATACTTCAATTAGACCTGGGTCACAATCCTCCACCCGTTAAAGCACACCGTCACACACAAACACACAAACACACAGAAAAACATGCAAAAATGTAGGTTTCATCATCCCACGTGTGGACCAGGGAATTTTCAGTTGTTCTTTCATCAGGGTCTCCTCTCATCTGTGGTTTAAAGTGAAACCCTACAGTGGAACACATCGTGTCCCCGTCCTACATATGAGCAACAATTAAACTCGGCTCCCGTCCTCTCTGCCAGCTTCTCCCCAGGAACTTCTCTGTACCGCTCCCTCCTCCTCCCTCTGTCTCTCCCACCGTGCTACCCTAGCGCTAACGATGCTGCCTTTTCATTAGACAGCCCCTGCTAATTAATCTCCATAGAGGAGAGTGACAGACCTCCCCCATCACACACACACACTCACAAAGTGCACGCCAAGATATATGCAAACACACACTCTTCTTCCTTCTCTCTCACTCCCTCGTCCCGCGTGGCGTTGGCAGCCCATTTCATGCTTTATCACGTCTTTTAATTGACAAACAAGCTGCTCTTTTCTCTTAGGCTGAGGTCTATATCACCCCCTCGCTCAGATGCGCACACATGCACACAGCCAAGAAAAGTAGTTATCTTTTCCGATTTTGGATTAACACACACACGCAGATATAAGCAAATGCCTCCCCGCTGACATGTGGCCCATGTGACTGTCACACAGTTTTCTTCTCTCACACAGCACCATGGATGACACATGTGCACTTAGGTTGAAAATTAAGCTAAAAAGAGTAAAAGGTTCCCATCACTCTTGGCATCTCCTTAATCTTTGGATATGTTTTTACCGCCATGGTTCAATCATCTGCCACAGGGCAACGCAAACAACTGCCTTATTGATTTTCAGCGATCTGGTGACAAGTTTCCCTTCACAATAACCCCAAAACTCTCTTTCCTTTGGCTGCTTGGAACATCTATATGCTAAAACTCCAAATGATTTGTGCAGGCCTTGTCACACAGCTCAAATCACTGACAGCAGAAGATGCTGGATGAAGCGTAAAGAAAGAGTGAGGTGAGGGTTATCACTCCGAACGCTGAGGTCATCAGTGGTGAGAGTTTGCTTTGATAAGCGCAGCCTATACCCACTAATGCACAATCACCACAACCAGCACTTGTGTATAATTCTCAGCAGCTCAGTTAATAAATAACAACTGCAGGAGATACTATTGGTTACGATGAGATTTGAAATATTTCTTTTCTGATGAGGCGCGTTCTGCATAAAAAAAGATTTAAGAAGTGCCGCCGGCTGTAAATTGACCTTTTTCACTGAGCTGGTGGCTTAGTCCCCGTCCTCCACTGGTCCCATAGTCCTCTTTTACATTTGTCTGCTTTTTAATTGGGACTGTGCGAAAAACTAGACGTCAAGTGGGATTTTGCCAAATTTGACACAGGTTGACTCTAAACTGATTCTGCATATTTAAAACTTTTTTTCAACATGGCACATCCAACATATGTGCATCATTTGCCGTGTGCATGTAGTGGGACCTTTCATGTTAAAGCTGAGGTGTGCTGACACGTTACTTATTTCGAATTGTTTTTTATCATGAACATATACTGTACACTTTAGACTTTGAACAGGGTAGCCATATGTTGTTTAGAAAATTTCTCCTGAACTGTTTGTTTGTCTGAAACTATTTATAATAATATATTTTCCTGCCCAGGGACTCTAGATTCAAATTGGCTATATAACCAACTCTGGCTTAATGGATGTGTTGTGCTTGGCCATTGCAAAGTAATCGAATAACCTAAATAAAACTACTTTGACAGAGTAAGAGCTGACTTCATATTTAACATTCCCACATACTTAGTGAATACCTAAATTATTTACATTTTCCGTACTAACAGTCTGTAGGATAAAGGTTTTTCAAACTTAATAGGCAAACTGTGTTATACAATAAACACACATCATCGCTCACATTTCATTGTTTAATAACATATGAATATCTCAACCACTTTTTGAATTTCTTCTACACCTATGAGCTGTTAACTGTCCTGTGAGAAGTCAGGAAAATGAACATATAATGTGGAAGGAAAACGTTGGAAAATGTGTTATTGACCTCTTAATTCTTAAGACTTTTATACAGAGCATCTACATCCAGCTGAGCTCTGCACAAGAACTGATGGAAACACTGCAGAGAAGCAGTGCTCAGGTGAAAGTGCTGGTTTTCTACTCACTGTGATGTGGTACTGTCTCCAGATCTCTGGACAGGCCTGTGAAAAGAAAACACACACTTCATAAGGTCATGAAAGAACAAAAACAGACCCACGTGTGTAAATACACACTTTTACAGAGCATGTAAAAATAATTACGAATATTAAAGAGAGCGGGATGAAATTATCTAAAGAGGAATCTGAGGTGTGTTTTTGGGCCTCTTGAGTTGGACAGTAAAGACAGACTGAAGAGGAAACACTTTCAAAACTGGTCAAATAAAAATTGATCACTGAAGGAGCTGATGAGAAGCGAGTGAACGATGTTTATGACGACACAGAAGAGGACAGAACCTGAACAGCAGCATAATGATTTATTTGTTTGTTTGTTTTTCTGACTCTTTAAGTCTCCCCCTCTGTCTCTCACTAAACCTTTATCAGTGTTGTTTCTAAGTCCGTTTCCCCTTCGTGTGTGTTTCTCCAGTCACTCAGTCAGTAAGTAAGGCAGTCAGTCGTTTTGTCGCGCTGTGGCTAAAGCATTATCTCCGGGGCTTCGCCATGCTGTTCCTTAAGCGTTCCGACATCCTTTCCCAACCGCCACCACTTCCCACTGGGAAATTGAAAATGCCGCAGTCGCCGCAGGCAACAAGATTTATCTACTTACACACCTACTGAGTGAGAGAGACAGAAGGAGAGAGAGGAGGAGAGGAAGATTTAAGCCTGCTCAGTGTGTTTAGTTCTCTCTTGCACACCCGAAACAAGTTCCTATAGAAATTTGCATGCTGTGCAAATTCACTGCCTATTTTGGACCAAAGTGCTTGTTCAAATCTTGGCCTTTAAACTGCCTTTAAAGAATGAGAGGCAGGTTTTCTGGTTTAATTTGTACTGTTCAGAACTGAATATGAATTTCGACAGCTGTATCTTCCTCCACCTCTCATCTAGCTTTCTTTACTTCAACAACCCCCCTCCACTCCACCCGCTCCCTCCCGTCTCCCCTCTCCCTCCAGTCCACCGGGGTAGAGTGTTGTTGTCGAGGGCGACAGGCGAGGCGAGCGACACACTCGCGCTCCGTCAACCGTCTGTCTTTAATGAGAGACACAGAAAGACCCAGGGGACAGAGACCTGACTCTCTTTCTATCTCTCAAACACACACACTAAGACATACAGTGTAATTTGTGAGTGTGGGGGGGGAGTTATGCGTTCCAAGAAAAGGGTAATTATAATACCACACAACTATGCACCTTTGTTGCTGAAAAACGATATGCAAAAGAGAGTGTGGGGGGGTGGACACGAGAATCTGGACGAAGAGGTGAGAAAGAATAGGTGAGAGAGAAAACGAGAGAAAGAAAGAACGAAAGAGGGCTGTGTCCTGGTCTCCCCTCTCCCTCTGGTGTTCACCTGGTTACTCATCCATTACACAGAGAACAGTACATGACTGACGGAGAGCGAGCGAGAGACAACGAGAGGGGAGAGCGAGCGAGATGGGGGGTATACAGACAGGCTCTTACATACACACAGGGTTTCCATTCTATGGCATTAGTGTAAATGGGCAAGGTAATGAACGTTGCGGTGGGATAATTGTCATTGATGGTCATTAGATTCACCCTTCAGCATCCACACACACACACACACACACACACACACACACACACACACACACACACACACACACACACACACACACACACACACACACACACAGCTGGAATATGCAGCATGGCAGAGACATAACTAAGCTGTAATTGCTGAAGTGTATCAATTAATGTGAACAGCAGCGTGTGCTGACCCCGGTCACTCATTACTACTGGGAGAGAAAGTGGGGAAGAGAAGACGGAAGGAGGGGGAAAAGTAACTGAGGGGGGAGAAGAGGAGGTAGAGGAACAAAATTAAAAGCAGGGTGCCAACTTTATAAATGCTTGATGACTCTTCTGATTCCTGATAACAGGCTGAGGCCCCACTATGTATCAGGGGGGTTCACATACATACATTTTGTAGCAAAGTATTACTCTTTACATTATAGATTCCCCCAAACTTTATTGTGGAAACACCCTCTTCCAGTCACAGCATGAAACATCTGCACATTATTTGCTACTTTTGGCCATGTATTGCTATTTGCTGTGATAAAGAGAAGTTTGGTTTTCTTAGTAGATATGCAGCCCTAATAAAAGAGGAAGCTATACTCACGTCAAAGAAGTGTCCCTTCATGCTGCAGCGATGACACTGTTTGTGCCAGTATGGCCTCTCGCTGCAGGACTCGTACAGGTGACCAGGCAGGCCACAGTTGCTGCAGTGCTTACTGGGACACTCAATGGCCATGTGCCCGGGGGTGCCACACAGGAAGCAGGATGTCAACTTCTGCAAACACACGCACACACGAACAATACAAAAACACATAAGTTAGTGGTTTTACATACTTGTGCTCATCGTTGTGTATAAACTGTGGTGTAACTGACCTTAGGCTCGGGGCAGTTCTTGGAGAGATGCCCGGTCTTGTTGCAGTTTCTACATTGGACGCTCTTGTTGGTGTAGTATCTGTTGGGCACCCGCTGCGTCACTATCCTGGCACCCTTCGCTTTGTTGAAGATCTGAGCCTGAAACATAGATTATTAATTCCTCATGAACATCATGTTGTTCAGGCTCGATGGATTAAGCTGGATGTTAGTCTATAAATCATATACTACAATTCTTTGGGTTTGTGCTGTGAGATCAAGGCGAACAATACCTTCTAATGACAGCATATATATTCAGATTACAATATTCTTTATAGAAATGTGACACTTTTCACATATTGCATATATAACTAATATTCTTATATAGAATGAATTCAACTATTTGTACTTTGTACCACTTGGCACAACACAATAGTGATGTATTATATATATATGTGAGACAAATTACATTTTTTAATCTTTGGATATGCTTCCCCTTTCTTTACACAGAAAAAGTCTTTAATAAGCACCAACCACCTTGTAAAATGACCTAGTGTCATAGAACACACTATTTTTCACACTTTAAAGCTGTTAATTGCCGCCTACCTCCCTGTCCTTGTCGGAGACCAACCAGGTGCCCTCCTCTTCTTCAGCATCTGGCAGGAAAAGAGCAAAAGGCATTTTAAAATATTGTAAAAGTCATGTATGTTATTTTTTAATGTTTGCCAATATGGAGCTTTATTAAAAACAGAAAAATCTTGAGGCTCAATGATTCTTATCTACTTCATATAACAAATCAGCAAAAACATGCAAAATCAAAAGTCCGTGGGAAGCAGAACTACACACAACCCTTATTGGAATTAAGTGCCACTCCAGTAATTCCAAGCTGCAACTTCTCCATTTTTAAGAAACACAATGAATTTCATCGCTTTGTCGCTTTAGATAAAACCATCTGCCAAATGAATGTAAAATGTTCCCTGAGCTGTCACTTTTGTGTTATAGGTGTAAGGGGGCACTTTTATTGCTTGTCCCTTCAAACAGCATGACTGCGTTGGAGGACTTGGACCTTAACATTTGCACATCCTTGATATATGACATGGTAATTGCCATGAATTATGTTTTAAAACTGTGCAAATCTGAGTTTGTTTCCTCCTTTTGAATCTAAAGAACTCTGGATAGTTTTACATGTTGAGTGCTTAAGATACAAAATGTAGCATTGAGATATTTTTCAAAATATGGAATCCAGTACTTCAACATAGAAAAAAGGAGGAGGTATGTACAAATGTAATGTATAGGTCAATGAACAGCTCTTCTGTGCCCTTCTTCGGTTGACTGTGCTGCCATTTTTATTTTTTGTGAAATATGCCTTTTAAATGTGCTGATCACTTCAAGTTTCTTCTCTAACATTGGAAATTATGAGCATCAATTCAGAGCAGGGCCACACTCATAAGTAACGACAAATGTATCTGTGAATAGATTTAACTGAATTATAAACCTGATTTTGCATTGAACAGTGTTTTTCTTACTTTAACAATATGACAAGAAATGGAACCAGGAGTCAATAAAAACAAGAACGGATATATTCTAGATAATATTCAGCCTGGTAAAGAAGTGTAAACCCTGAGGAGCAAGATCAGTTTCCTGTAAGAGAAGGACACACACACACACACAGAGAGAGAGAGAGAGAGAGAGAGACAGCGCAGCACATCTGTATGAGAGTGGCACTAACAGCACCCTGAGGGAGACCACTGTATTCTCCTCAGGCCCACAGAACTGTAACTGACATCCAGAAGTCAAAACGTGCGCAAACACACGCACAAACACACACAAACACACACAAACACACGCACATACATACACAGCATAAATTATGTGCTCCTAGCAATGACCCGCACAGCCTCACATGCTTTCACAAACACATACAGACACACCCTCGCATCGACCCCTGCGATTAGCTGGTTGACAGTCTTTAGCCTTTGGACAAACATACAGCCTTGAGCCATAATCAAATATAACGCTCTTCTTTCCACCTCTCTCTCTTCCTTTTACCCTGACTCTCTCCATCCAGCCCCTTATCGTAATTCTGCTCAGCCCTCCTTCCTTTGCTTTCGCTCTCTCTCTCTACTTGTTTTTTTACCTCTCTTTACCCCCCCCCTCTCCTGGGTGCGCGGCTGCTGTGGGAGGTTATCACCTCTCTTCCCTGTCAAACAAATTAAAATGGCTGCTGTTTGGATGGGGCTTCTTTCCACCATGACCTTCACCTCCAAAAAACACACATGCACAAATGCAAGCAAATCAGTGCCACTGTCGTATGACAAACTTATGACTTTACTCTAGGTAATTTTTACTTTTAGCTTCATTTTAGGGCTTTCTGGGTTGTTTTATTTTTCCCCAGATAGAAACAATTAAATGTACTTAAAGCCGATGGTTTAGCTTAAAGCAAAAGAGTCTCTGACATTTCCTTAAACACTTTTTAGACTCATTTCTCATAGTTACTCATTGTCCCAAGTAGAAATCAGTCAAAACAATTACCCCATTATCAAAACAGTTTCACTTTATGATGATTGACCTATTACTCTCTCAGCTTTCCTTCAGTGTTATAGATGAGACTACCTTGAAAGGGAGAAAGACGAGTTATTATTGGTGTTCTCTCCTAATATTTCTTTGAGAGTGACATGATGCTGATGTTCAAATGGTTTGGCTGGATGAGTTCATCATGATCAGCTTCCAAAGTCATATAGATCATCACAAAAAAATCATGTTGCAATTTTTGCAATCTTTTTGAGAATATCTTGACTGTATGAACTTATATATTTGCACCTTTTAAAACACAATATTGCATTAAACAATGCTCTACACTAGCAGATCATGTGCATCAGTGTCCCACAGAATCTATGATTATTGATGTGGTATGTTCACTTTGATAGTTTCATGTTATTATTTGCTGCGTATATGCCTGTGAGCTGTCACACTAGAGTAAGAGTTACTCTAGTGTAGTTAGGCTTTGGTTAGTTTTGTGTGTAGGGAACCTCTGCAGCACTCACCTAATGTGAACAGAGTGGGGGGCCTCAGTGGGGTGTGTGTGCATGTCAGCGTGCTTGTGTCTGTGTGCGCAGGGGTAGTTGGTGTTACACAACAACCAGCACCCAGTCAATGGGCAGCTTAAATAAAAGGCAAGGGTGAAAGGTGTGCGTGTAAAAGTGAACGTGCGTGTAAAAGTGAACGTGTGTGTGTGGGGGGGGGGGGGGGGGTGAGCGTGCGTGCGTGCATGCGTGTGCCAGTGACTCAACGAAAGTCATTCCCAAAGCGTCTCCTGGGGGGACTCCCCAAATAAAGAGCAGGAAGCTTTCCCTTAATCTAAGGGCCCCCCATCTCACCAACACACACACGGATAAAGGGTGAAGCCTTTGTCACGGCCGAGGAATCAAACACATGGGGGGTGGAGGCGGAAAAGAGGAGAGGAGAGGGTGGTTGGGGGGGTTTACCGTTGTCTGTAGACTGGGTGAAAATATGCTAATCAACCTTGAAGCCCTGTTCAAGACCAAACTATCAGAGCCGCTCTCTCCATCGTGGCCCAACAGATCTGAAGGTGTCTGGAGCTGAATAAGCAGATGGCAGCAGCTTCACTGAGCAGCTGAACGCACTCGAGACGCCTCCGCCATGTTGACTGCAAATGTTAGATTTTAATAGATCCAATGGCAAATCTCCCTAGCAGACTAAAGATTGTAAATTGTTAAGGGACTGTTTTATGTAGTGCTTTTTTGTTTTAATAACAACTCAAAGGGCTTTACACTACAATTTAACCATCTGAGTCAACTGGGGTTCAGTATCTTGCTCAAGGACACTTCGACAAGCGGACTGGGGGAGCCATGGAACGAAGCCTCAGCCACTCTGTAGGACGATAACAGATAACAGATGTGACCACAAACATCAGAGTCTCCAACTGTGTCTTATTCCTCTCCTGAAGAATGGAGAAATATTCCATTGCATTCCAGTTGTCCGGTTTTCATCGCTTTTGATTCTACGGGACAACTTGTACATTATCACATCACTCCGCCGTCGAGGGGAATTCGACACAATGGCGTAGAAGAGGGGGAGACGGAGAAAAGCAGAGAGGGAGAGAGGGATCAGGGGAGAGAAGGCGACAGATGCTACCTGTCAGTCTCATAGGTACCCTGATTACTAGGAGATGAGGAGGAGAGGGGAGGAGGCTGCTTGCCAGTTCATCAGAGCCGGCAGAACAGAACAAAACAGAGGAATTGGGTGTGGGTGTGTATGTGCATGTGTGAGGGGGAGCCTGTGTGTGCATTTGTGTGTGTGTGAGCGTTTTGAATTTGTCCCTTGTACCAGTGAGAACAGAACGGAAGTGTACGTGTGGCTAATGAACCATGAACACCCGGCTCTCCTGGGGTAAGACACACAGACACACACACATACACACACTACAATGTTAGGGGACCATGAGGAACATCCTTCTCACGGGACAAGGTCCAGACAGGGTGGTTTAAGTCTGATAACCCGAGGATGAGATTGAGAACGTTGAGGCACACACCCATCCTTCAATGTGTCAGTCTTTTCTGACAACAACCCTTGACTGCGGCTACACCAGTTTCCAGCCGTGTGTGTGCGTGTGTGTGTGTGTGTGGGTCATCCACAAGCTGTTCTCCCCTCTGTTTTAGCGACATCAAAACCTTGGTGTTGGTCTGCCTTGCCCTTCTCCCTCTTTCCCTGTCCTGACACTTAAACAGGCATCCCCCAGCCAGCCCGCCCATTGTACCACACTGTTGACCGGGCCCATTAACACACCAACCAGCGCACACACACAAACACACACAAAATGGGAGTGAAAGAGGGGCCTTGCCCCCCAAATAGAGGTTATGTTTGATACTGAAGCGACAGGGCCGGATTAGCAACACTATACATGACAATGGTGAGGGTGGGAGGGAGTGTGCAAGCTGTGTGTGTGTGTGTGTGTGTGTGTGTGTGTGTGTGTGTGTGTGTGTGTGTGTGTGTGTGTGTGTGTGTGTTGGAAAAAAAATGCTTCCTTTGTGACATCACCCTTGCCCTAGAATTTTGCCCTCTGCAAGGTTAAACACACCAAAAGGTTGGCTAAGTCAGACGCACGCACAGACGCAGCTTATCTTCAACTCTGCTCTTTTGTGAAACATTAAAGTCTGGCTGAGGATGTAAAACAACTGAGATGAACAGGAACAGTGAGAGGAAGAGATGAGAGGGCTTAGGAAGAGAGGAAGAGGAGGAGGTGTTGAAAATGAATTGGCCATTCAATAAAAGAGAGGCTGGCTGAGTCTGAAGCCCACTGGACAGCAAACAGCAGCCAGGTACAGAGGAAGACAAAGTGCGTGAGGAATTAATGGTGGAAGAGGGGGGGGATATGCAGACCAAGAGGGAGAGAGAGACTGTCAGAGTGCATGTGAATGTGTATAGATGTTCACCATGCAGGACATAGATCAATAGCTTTACAGGCCCATTATAGATTAAAGCAGCTGATTTCATTTAGCTTCATTTCATGCTATTTCTCTGCCTCCACTGATCTCTCTGTTAGACACAGGAGGTGAGAGAAAGAGTCCAACTGCCCAGGAACAACTCAAATCCATTTCCAAATACTTGCTCCATTCACAAGAGGGAAATCGTCAAA